GGTCCGGGCTGGATTCGAACCTGCCACCTTAGGTGTATATGGCTGGTGTCTTAGCCACTTGAGCCACAGGCGCCAAGCCAAGATCCCCAAGTCTTAAGCACTCTAGTACACAGTGCTAACCCTTTATGAAAACCATCCTATTAACAACAAAAACAGTAAATATATTAACAAACAATGACATTTACTGAGTGCTGGGTATCAAGCCTTTTGATATACTTTGCCATTTAATTCTTCTTCAATATTATGAAGATGTTATCATTACCCTCTTGCTAAAACAAACAAACAAAAAATGCATTAAGAGAACACAATACATGGGGCGGCACCTAGGCTCAAAAGGTTAGGGTGTCGGCCCCATACGCCGAAGGTAGCGGGTTCAAACCCAACCTTGGCCAAAAAAAACCACACACCTACCATTAAAAAAAAAAAAAGAGGATACAATACTTGCCCAAGGTCACCCAGCTGATAAACAGTACAGACCAATGACCAGCTGACTCAGGAAACTGAATTCTTAACCACTACTTAATTTTCACAAAACCCTACAAAGATACACTATCAACCCACTTAACACTGAGAAACTAAAAATGAGAAAGACTACAGAATCTGCCTAAATCACACAGCTAGAATGTAGCCAGAGGTTGGATTTCCAAATCCAGCTCCCTGCTCCCCAAAACCCAAACCCCTTCTAGTCTGCTCAAGGAACTCACCTCAAACTCTCGGATGTATGGCGCAATGCCACAGTAAGGTTGATTATGGTGTTTTTCATGTGGCAGCTTCTCTAGAGGTGGCAGGTATGGGATGGGGTCCCGGGGAGCAAAGAGGGCCAGAAGATTGGGCGGCAGGAACTGGGTCATCTTGCCAAGTCTGAGAGCAGAAGCAGGACAGCTTTATGTTAGAGCAGGTCAGGAGAAATGAATCCCCTTATTGCCCTTTACTCTCAAAAAAAAAAAAAAAAAGACAGAAACGTGAGATAAGTTTATTAAAACAGGCTCTGTAAAGACAGAGAATGATTCTCTGTCACACAACAAAAGGTAAATCTGAGTAAGAAAGTAAGATCTGGTAGGGTGGGAGTGAGGCTAGGACTAGTAGGGGAAACAAAGGCCACTAAGGCAAACAAAGACTGGAAGAGTTTCTGAGGTAATCAAGTCTCAATCCTGACAGAATCAGCTGTGGGGCCGAGCGTTGTTCCCTGGAAGTTGCTGGGGAATGGAAGATCTTAAAACAGCCTCAGAGCACTTGCGGCTGGTGGTCCTGTACCTAGCGTAACAGAGGAGATGGAGGGCGCAAGGGTCGGGGGTGGAAAATCTCCGCGCAAAGGAAGAACGTCAAGGAGCAAACCACTCAGGCTAGGGGCTGGTGGGTAATAGATCTGGGCCCCAAGGGCGAAAAGAATTATGGGTAAGGGCCCAGGACGACACAGACAAGAAAAAAGGCAACGCACCGCAAGGGCCTGTGGGTAGGTGACTGCTGCGGGGGGGGGACGTCTATTGAAAGCGGGCTTGAGTGCCCAGGGGATTCTGGGTAAAGGGTGCAGAAAGGAGCTGTGGAGAGGACGCGGGAAAGGAACCCAGCCGTGGGCAAGGGGACTAGGGCTCACCGCAGGGCCTTGTGGGTTGCGGCCCCGCACCCCTTAGGCCACTCAGTCACACTTACTCGCCGCGCGGCGCCCTCTTCGGCCTGGCGTAGGTCTGGAGGCTCGCGGCGGCTGCGGCGGCCCCTCACTACAAAGACTCCTCCTCGGGCTTCGACTCCAGCAGTGTCCGTACCTGTCTGCCTCCGACGCCCTCCCAGCGCGCGCACAAGACCGCAGCTCCGGAACCCGCGCGGCCACGGCTCGCGACGGGAGCAGGGGAGGAGGGGTGGATCCCGGCCTCAAATCCCTCCGCCGTCCGCACTGCGCATGCGCCGCTCGAGTATATCCCAACCCACACACTAGGACTCTGTGCGGCCGCGGGCACGGCGCACGCGCGAGGTCACTAGGCTGACTTTGGTATCCTTAAACACCTTGGCCGCGGCAAGTAGAAGTCCGTATTGCGCACGCGCGACAGCGCCAAGCAGTCCATTCACCTCACGCTCTGGGCCCCAACCGCCTCTATCCGCGAGACTCTTACTGATGCTCCTCCCCTTTCCCTAACTCACGTCCCAGATCTTTCGCGCATGCGTGTTATATAGTGTACTGTGATCTAATCTTCCTCCGCCTGACAAAGAGTCCCTAAGTGAATAATATAATTGCGTTGAAATGTAATCTATTCAACCAATAACTGTATATCATGTTTTCATTTTCCTTGGCAGTGGAAAACCACAACAACGATAATGTGCATCTTGTGTATGCTAGCCGCCGTTTGGGCTCCGGGGCTGCAGCACATGATTAAAATATTTTACTTATCGAAGATTACATTGTACTGAGGCAAACATTTCAGGCAGTGGCGAGCACAGAAAAAAAAATGGAACTGAATAAGGGGATAGGAAGTGAAAGCAAGGCTATTTTAGAAAGGGTGATAATGGAAGGCTATGAAGAAGTATCATTTGAACAGTCCTCCCAGATGAAAGGGAAACCTCAGCCCAGCACGTTGGCTCACGCCTGTAATCCTAGCACTATGGGAGGCCAGAGGCGGGTGGATTGCCTTGAGTTCCCAGGTTCGAGACCAGCCTGAGCAAGAGCGAGACTTCCGGGCGTTGTGGCGGGCACCTGCAGTCCCAGCTACTTGGGAGGCTAGGGCAAGAAAATCCCTTAAGCCCAAGAGTTTGACGTTGGGCGGCGCCTGTGGCTCAGTGGGTAGGGCACCAGCCCCATATACTGAGGGTGGCGGGTTCAAACCCGGCTGCGGCCAAACTGCAACAAAAAAATAGCTGGGCACTGTGGCAGGCACCTATAGTCCCAGCTACTAGGGAGGCTGAGGCAGAAGAATCGCCTAAGGCCAGGACTTGGAGGTTGCTCTAAGCTGTGTGACGCCAGGGCACTCTACTGAGGGCGATAAAGTGAGACTCTGTCTCTACAAAAAATAAAAGAATTTGAGGTTGATGTGAGCTATGATGCAAGGGCACTCTACCGAGGGCGACAAAATAAGTCTCTGCCTCAAAAAAAAAAAGAAAAAAAGAAAAAGAAAAAGAAAGGGAGACCTAGGTGGGGATGACAGAAGTGCAAAGTCCCTTAGCCTTAGCCGGCACCTGGTGGCAGGACTCTCAGGTTTTTGGTCCTGAGATCCAAGAGCTGGCAGTGATGTTATTTAGGGCCCATTAAACCTGTATGGAGTTAAACACTGTTTTGTTTTGGTTTTTTGTTTTTGTTTTTGAGACAGAGTCTCACTATGTCGCCCTTGGTAAAGTGCCCTGGCCTCACAGCTCACAGCAACCCCAGAGTCTTCGGCTTAAGCAATTCTCTTGCCTCAGCCTCCCAAGTAGCTGGGACTACAAGCACCCGCCACAACACCCAGCTACTTTTTGGTTGTAGTTATCATTGTTGGCAGGCCCGGGCTGGCATCCGACCTGCCAGCTCCAGTGTATGTCGCTGGCGCCCTAGCTGCTTGAGCCACAGGCACCGAGCCTAAACTCTATATTTTAAGTTTCCTGGATAGAATTAATTGCCTACTGATTGATAACTACAGAGATTATTGCAAAATTTCTAACTACTACTAGGGCAGCACCTGTGGCTTTGTGGTGGGCGCCTGTAATCCCAGCCACTCGGGAGGCTGAGGCAGGAGAATTGCCTAAGCCCAAGAGCTGAAGGTTGCCTTGAGCTGTGATGCTACAGCACTCTATCTAGGGTGACAAAGTGAGACTCTGTCTCTTAAAAAAAAAATTCAAACTACTAATTTCATATTGCAACAAACATATAATATAAAAGCACATTTTGCCATTTTTACTTTATCTAATTGTGTATATGACAACTCTATATACTATTTTTGCAATTTTACTGTAAGTCTAGGAAATTTTTTTTTTTTTGAGATAGTGTCTCAAGCTGTCACCCTGGGTAGAGCACTGTGGTGTCACAGCTCACAGCAACCTCTAACTCTTGAGCTCAAGTGATCCTCATGTCTCAGCTTTTCTATTTTAGTGGAGATGGGGGTCTCTCTTTTGCTCTGGCTGGTCTCAAACTGGTGAGCTTAAGCTATTCATCTGCCTCAAGCTCCCAGAGAGCTGGGATTACAGGCGTAAACTACCTTGCCTGGCCTAGTCTAAAATTGTTTCAAAATAAAGTTTATATAAAACTAAACCTGCAGGCGGCACCTGTGGCTCAAAGAGTAGGGCGCCGGTCCCATATACTGGACGTGGTGAGTTCAAACCCGGCCCCGGCCAAAAAAAAAAAAAAACTAAACGTGCCCAAAGCTGGGCATGGTGGTGCACACCTGAAATCCGAGGTCCTAACTATTGGGGAGACAGAGGCAGGAGAATCATCTGAACCCAGGACTTCAAATCCAGCCTAGTAAATATAGCAAGACTTTCTCTATAAAACAAACAATCCTGCCTAAATAATGTATTTTTTTCTGTACTATTTGAAAGTAAATTGCAGCACATTTCACTTCTAAATACTTCAGCATGTATCTCCTAAGAATGTGAACATTCTTCTACATAACCAAAAAATTATTTTCACCTCAAAGAAAGTTTATCCAGTTATTCAAATTTTCCCAAGAGACCCAAGAATATCTTTGGTTTTATTTATTTATTTTTAGAGACAGAGTTTCACTTTGTCGCCCTCAGTAGAGTGCTGTGGCATCACAGCTAATGGCAACCTCCAGCTCTTGGGTTAGGCAATTCTCTTGCCTCAGCTTCCTGAGTAGCTGGGACTACAGGCACCCACCACAACGCCCAGCTATTTTTTGCTGCAGTTTGGTCGGGGCTGGGTTTGAACCTGCCACTGTCAGTATATGGGGCCAGTGCTCTACTCACTGAGCCACAGGCGCCACCCTTATTTTTCTTTTTGAGACAGAGCATCACTATGTCACCCTCATTAGCATGCTATGGCGTCACAGCTCACAGCAACTTCAAACTCTTGGGCTTAAGTGATTCTCTTGCCTCAGCCTCCCAAGTAGCTGGGACTATAGGCGCCCGCCACAATGCCTGGCTATTTTATGTTGCAGCTGTCAGTTATTTAGCTGGCATGGTGGGGTTCGAAACCACCAGCCTGGGTGTATGTGGCTGGCGACATAATCACTGTGCTATGGCACCAAGCCAACATCTTTGCTTTTAATCCCAACCAGGATTTAATCAAGGTTCACACTGGGCTGGCCAAGGTGGCTCATGCCTATAATTCTAGCACTCTGGAAGGCTGGCTCACCTGAGCACAGGAGTTCAAGACCAGCCTGAGAGAGAGTGAAACCCTGTCTCTATTAATAAAAATAGAAAAAACTAGCCAGGCATTACGGCGCCTGTAGTCCCAGCTACTTGGGAGGCTGAGGCAATAGGATCACTTAACCCCAGGAGTTTGAGGTTGTTGTGAGATACAATGTCACAGCACTCTACCCAGGGTGACAGAGTGAGACTGTCTGAAGAGAAAGAAAACAACAAAAACAAAATAAAACAAAAGGTTCACAATTTTCATTTGATTGTCACATCTCTTTATTCGAATATGGAGTAGACACCAGACTGAGCCACACAGTGAGACCCCATCTCTCAAAAAAATAGAAAAATTAGCCAGGTGATGAGATGGGAAGAGTGCTTGAGCCCAGGAATTTGAGGTTGCAGTGAGCTATGATGATACCACTGTATTGTAGCCCGGCAACACAGCAAGATCCTATTCTAAGACAAAAACAAAACAAAAAAGAATAAATGCATACATACACACACCACTTTTTTTGTGATTCCCCCCTCCCAATCCCAAGTTCAGATGAGTTTCCTGTAGAATGTATCACATTCTGGGCTCGGCGCCTATAGCTCAACCGGCTAAGGCGCCAGCCACGTACACCTAAGGTGGCGGGTTCGAATCCCCAGCCCGGACCCGCCAAACAACAATGACGGCTGCAACCAAAAAATAGCCGGGCGTTGTGGCGGGCGCCTGTGGTCCCAGTTACTTGGGAGGCAGAGGCAGGAGACTCGCTTGAGCCCAGGAGTTGGAGGTTGCTGTGAGCTGTAATGCCACGGCACTCTGCCCAGGGGGACAGCTTGAGGCTCTGTCTCAAAAAAAAAAAAAAAAAAAAAAAAGAATGTATCACATTCTGGATTTTTCCTCATGGTGTTTAGCTTATTCCACTACCCTCTTTTGCCTGGAAACTGGAAATTGAGTCTGAAGGGTTGAAGTTAATCATTTTTTTGGCAAGAATACTTTCCTAGTGATACTTCAGACTTCTTATTACATCAGATATGGAGGTGCATATCAGATGATCCTACTGTTATGATGTTGCCTTTGGCCACCTGGTCAAGAAACAAACTGCCAGATCTCTCTTTATGAAAGTACATTTTCCCCTGATAAACTCACTGGTAAGACTCTGACATTGTGCAAATATTCTGGTCTCCAACCATCTCTCACCAAATGATTCTACCAGCCACTTCTGAGCTCTACATGAATAAAGTACAAATGAGGGGGGCAGTAAAATAAGAAGTTAACTGGCTCAGTGCCCATACCTCAGTGAGTAGGGCGCCAGCCACATACACTGAGGCTAGAGGGTTCAAATTTGGCCTGGACCTGCTAAATGACGTTGACAACTGAAACCAAAAATAGCCAGGCATTATAGTAGGTGCCTATAGTCCCAGCTTCTTGGGAGGCTGAGGCAAAAGAATCACTTAAGCCGAAGAGTTTGAGGTTGCTATGAGCTGTGGCACCACAGCACTCTACCAAAGGCAACATAGTGACACTCTGTCTCCAAAAATAAGAAGAAGTAACTAATGGATTTTGATCAGAGAAAGGATGTAACCTAGT